GTTGATTTCTTCTTACATACTTGTTTATCAAATGCGTTAGAATGAGTTGACGAGTGGAACATGCTAATTACATATTTAATGGCATGAGGCTTAGTTCATTAGGATACCCATCCACAAACAATTCTAGTTATGATTGTGTCAAAATATTATGGATTTGTACTCTATCAAATTATGCTTTAGAATGTCAACACCAACATGATTATTGTATTAGAATATTAAAATATTTCCATCATCTTCAATATGGATAACCTGACATCATATCATGAGGAAATAGAAGCTTTGACAGATAAGGTCGAAGCTCCCCCAACCATAAAAGATTGACGTGAGAGTTTCCTTCATAGGCATTTTTGTTGTACTATGACTGCTATAATATCGATAATATCGGGACCTCACTATCAGGGGAGACGAGCCGAAACATTCATATTTTATTTAGTATGTTGTCTTTCTTATTATGATTCATTTCTTCTTAGTTATTACATATATATATATATATATAATATATACTATATGTTGTATTAGGGTTTGAACGGAAAATTTTGTATTATTTTTGTTCACGCTAATTGTCGGTGTCTAATTTCCCCTTTGAGGGTTGTATCAGAGTGTTTAAGTGATGCTCCAGTTGCATCTCTTGCCTGAGGTGATGATTATCTTTCTCATCCCTTTCTACATCCCTTCCACGTCTCTCTTGACCACTCCGTCCTTGCTGCAACCACCCAATATAACAACTATTGTTATTTTTTCTTATACCTTTCTTATTTTCAGTTGCCTGCCTCCCTCTCTGCCACACTAATATCCCAAATAGCCGCCTCTAGTATTCCTTAACCTTCCCCGCATCACTCCTAGACGATGATTTTCACTGCCTCAATCTAAAAAATAGCAAATATGCTAAATTTTTTACTATCCAACCACCATTGTATCTTGATATTGGTTGGATTGCAGCCCAACCTAATGTCCTTGCAGTCCCCGCTTGTTGCCCCCTCCCCCATCCCAGTCATCACTTCTCTTTTCGTTTGATTGTCCACAGCCCTTTACCTTCATTGATCCTCGCTGTCCTAGCCTTTCGCTTCACTGCTAATGAAATTTCAGCCCACTTTTTGTTGTCCCAACTACCCACAACCAATTTTAGCCACCTATGGATCAAGTTCTAGTGTGAGTTTTTTTGTCATTTTTGTTGTAATTTTCTATTCAAGTGTGTTTGATTATATTCATCTATTTGCTTTCAGTAATAATATTTACTTTTTTTTTTATTATGGGTTAGATTAACTCTAGTATCAATGCCAATCCCTTTTATCCCCTGACCAGTGCAAGGACCTTGTCAATGCTTTAAAACCCTATATACAGACACCTACTCCTAAGTAATAGTAGGACTTCAGCATTTTCCTACATGCCTCACTGAATGGTATAAAAGAGTAAATGTGAATATGTAAGATGCAAAATGGATTTATAACTATCAAGTCATTGATGATGAGATTTTTATAAGTTCGATTGATTAGTTGGATCATAAAACCATTGTACCAACAATGAAGGGTGCACTATCAGTTTAGGATACAAATTCCCTAGTGTCCAACTTATAAAGGTTATAAACTCGCTTGTTTGGAACACCTGAACTCAACTAGCAGAGCAAAGCCAGAATGTGTCACCCCTACGGAAGGGTGTATCAACAAGTCATGGGTAAAAACTCGAGGCTCAGCTCGACCTATAAAGATCAATAAGCCAAAAGATGTTTGATTGAGTAAAAAATGACTAATCAATGGGATGACCCACAATCATTGCACTACAACAAAGACGGTGCACTGAATGTGCATCTATGAGAAAGGAAACATCACTGAGTGACATTGTAACCCTGAGACAACAAGTATGGGGCCACGAAGTTGGGAAGCAACACTAGGACACCAAGCCAAAGAAGCCAAGTAAAGGAAGCTCATGAGCTAAGAATAACATGTGGAATCTTAGTCTATTAATGCTCAAACTTCAGTGCATCAACATCGAGATGGTGTTCTGGCTGTGGTCGAACATACACGAGGTATGGTAAGGCAGTGGTGTTGAAAAGAATATTGTGGCTTTGCACAAACCCAAAGCAAGATGGTATCATGACATCATGGAGATGATGATGTGGAGATATCCTAAAAATGGCACGAAGCTTAGAAGTTGGAAAGCAGTGCCTCAGTGCCAAGACAAACAAATAAGAATGGTGCCACAGTGCCAAAAGGTAGTGTCGCTGCGCCAAGGAGAAATCAAATGGGTTCACACTGGGTTGGCTCAAAAAAATGAAAAAAATAGGGTTGGGATTCTTAACCTAGGTATTTTCTCTAATAATAGCTTTGCCCTAATCCTCTAACATAAAGTCCCAAGGGATTCTAAGAGAATGGAAAGGGAAAATGGTTCAAAGTAATCTCACCTATGCAAAGGTTGATGTAGTTCTTATGGTGCCAACTTCTCCTGAGATCGCTCGGCTAACTTCTCCTGCCAAAGGTCCTTTGTCCCGCCTATGAAGGATATCTGCAACAAAGGAAAAGTGCTTAGGGAAGCTCACACACAACATAAACACTCAATGAAGAGGGGAGGAAGAAGGGGAGTAAGGACTCACGGTTGAAAGAAAACACTAAATGCTCAATCTTCATATCTTGGGGTAGCTGCCCCTTTTACAAGAAAAAAATTTGTCTGGACTCTGGACGTAGTTTTACATGCAGACTCCCAATAATATATTTTCATGTGTGTTATATCGGGCCCACCTAAAAAATATTAAAGTAAAACCGAAGATCCTGCAATAACCCCGAAATAACCCTGAACTAACCTTCGTGGTGTTAAACCCAAAATGATAACACCGCGGAGGTTATTTCAGAGATATTTCTGGATTATTTCGGGGTTATTGAAGTAGAATATATGAGTTTCTATCTAATAACCCAAAAATACCCCATAAGTAACAACCGCGGTGTTATTTTGGGGTTATTGAAGTGGAACCATGAATGTTATTTTAGGGTTATTTCTGAGTTATATCGGGGTTAAATCTGAGTTATTTCAGAGTTATTGAAGTAGAATATATAAATTTATCTTCAATAACCTCAAACTAAACTTCGCGGTTCTACTTCAATAACTTATAAATAACCTCCACGATACAGCACACATGGTGACATATTATTGGAGTCTGCATGCAGAGCTACGTCCGGAGTCCGTAGATAACATTTTTCCCTTTTACAAGACAACAACATCACTCATATCAGGGCGCTTAGGCATTATTGGCGTAACAAATGCGACATCGACCAAATAATCAAGCACACCATCGTAATTTCCAGTAGAATAAATATTTTTTTTTGATAAGTATTTAGACGCTGCTCATGGGTGTCTATGCGTTGTTGACTTACATATGTCAAGTCACCTGATAGGTGAGAGGTTGTCCTATCAAAAACCATCGTATGATAGGAAATATGATGGGCATCATGACGCAAGGTTCAGGGCGCCTTGGTGCCAATAACTTGGCAGTGCTACATCGACCAATAATGAAGTACCTTGTTGTAATCTCGTGATAATAAATAATCTTTTTTTGGCAAGCGCCTATGCAATGTTGATGTGGCATATGCCACATCACCCGACAGACTAGAGGTTGTCCTATCAATAGCCAGCGTATGTGAGAGACATCATGTGCATCGCAACACTAGGTGGCGCCGTAGTGTCAGGCCTAGTGTGCCTATGTGTGAGGCTCAACTTCATTTTAACACTCTAAAATGAGAAAAACTACATTCAGGGCATTCTGTCAATAATGGTGGGACCAGAGAACAAAAATGATACTAGCAATTACTCTTCTTATTTGAGCATGATTCACGCTCATTGCATATTATTAGGGTATTGAACCCAGATTTGTTATTGAATCACACCCAAGGAATAAATGTTAGGACCGAGAGAGAACATGAGGGAGAAAACTTGAGCAATATGTAGAAGATTAGAGTGGTTTTTCGTAGCTCTAGGGGAAAAAAATTAGAATTTGGTTTAAATTTAATATCCCTTATTTATTGGGGTTGATTTCCATAAATTATATGTTTAGGTCTATATTACTCTTAGACCTCTAGCCACACAACTCTTTAATAATCAATTCTCGCTAAGGTTAGGGTATGTGCGAGATCTTCTACTGTTTGACTCTTTTAGTGAACCAGGAGATCCTTCCCCTTGGTTGTTCTTGTGCTCTACCTTTCTTACTTGGGCTATCACACACAACACTTGATCTGTCGTGCTCCACAAGTGAGTATTTTATATGACTTCTGTCAGATTGCAATCTATTTCTGGATTCATCTGATCAACTAGTTTCTACTAATGAACAAGCCAAGAGCAACTCCATTTCTATTGATTCGAGTAGGAGCTTTTTGTCATACACTTGCTAAAATATAATTAATAAACACTAATTAATATGAAACAACACAATAACATCAGTGAAATAGTAAAATGAATGTTCACATACATATTATATTTATACATTCAAAAATGACTTGGCAGTCATTATCATGACACTTATATTTAGGGACATTTACATACATCACACTATTCTTATATATTTATCATTTACACATGTACCACCTAAAATTCCATTTTTACATGTATAACACTTAAATCATTAACATCACACAAAAATATCATTTTTACTAACATTTTAAAAGTGAAATATACATTTTTTATGCACAGATTTATACACCAAAGTTATGATAGATATCTTATGTAAATACCCCTGATATTTATAAATAAATTTATCATTGATTTATTAAAATATCCTAAATCAAGAAAATTCGACCATTCAATAAAAATCCAATGATTATCAAACTAATCATCATTTTATGGACTGCTCACCTCCTAAAATAACAAAACTTGTACCAAACATACATTCAATATTTCACATTTATAATAATATCAAGTTAAATATGTCAAACCCCTCAAATTAAGCCTCAAAATTAACAGCATAAGCATTAAGTTTAATACCATGTTAAAACTTCATTAATATAATATCATAACGCTAATTCAGGAGAAAAATATCAAAAATAGGATTACAATCTTTCCAATCATGCTGAAAGGATGATCAGACAGTTTCAGAAGAAGAAAGAGGCTACATCCCCATTTTACAGAGATATGGACATAACAACTATCATCTTTACTACATTTAATTCCATGTTATATGCCTCCATGTACAAATTTGAATCCAATGCTTCATAAATCTTCAATATAAATACAACCAAGCAAAGCTTCACTTTATAACTCTGAAAGACAAACTCAGCTATGCTACAACTACACTAAGCCATCATCTTGCACTCTGCAGAAGGATAACAGCACAAATTCAATCCTTCATTGGTCCGAGCGGTGAGCGAGTGTTACTCGAAGCCTGGCCATGGCGGCGAGGCCTATGCTGAGGAGAGGCTTCCTTTGACTCTATCGAACGGCATTTCAGGGCTTCAATCTCCTCGAGAGCCTCCACGACTTCCTTCATCGAAGGCCGGTTTTTCGGGTCAGCTTCAAGGCATTTGTAAGTTAGCTGGGCTGCTTGAAGAGCTCCTTTTGATGAGTACTTCCCGTTGAACCTGGGATCCATGATTCTTGATAGCTTCCTTCTGTCAGCCAAGTATGGCTTTGCCCAATCTACCAGATTGTGCTGCCCGTTTGGACGGTTAGGATCAAGTGCTCGCTGACCAGAGAGCATCTCCAACAAGACAACTCCGAATCCGTACACATCGCTCTTAACATACAAATGACCTGTGAGGATTAAATAATCATCCAATGCATGCCAAGTTAGTAAATCCTATAAATCGAGATTTATCAAATCCAAATGTTTTTTGGTTTAGATAAGGTTAATTCCAATTAAATCTATCAGACGTGTTTGGTATAAATTTGTTCGATGTTTTGTCTTCCTAAGCTAAATCCGTTAAATCCACGTGAAATTGAATTTAGTAGATCCGGATTTCCTTATGATTATGAGAATGAAATTTTGCTAACTACACCATGAAACTCTAATGCATAGCACATAATGTAATGTGTTTCTTCACAAGACAATACTTAGATAGAGATATATATTACAAATATGCACTTTCTCAAGAAATGGAGATATATTACAAATTATGCAATTTGAAGATGCAGCAACACACCTGTTGCAGCATACTCAGGAGCTACATAGCCATATGTGCCTATCACCCTGGTAGTGACATGAGACTCACTACCTATTGGCCCATTCTTAGCAAGACCAAAGTCTGAAAGTTTTGCATTGTAATTCTACAAACAAACAAGATGAATAATATTATTTATAAATATACCTTTAAATGCGAAGAGGTGAAAAGCATCTTATGTTAAGATCACTACCGAGTCAAGAAGGATATTGGAGGCCTTGAAATCACGATAGATAATTTGTTTCTCTGAGGAATGTAAAAAAGCGAGGCCTCGAGCAGCGCCAATGGCTATCTTTAACCTGAGGTTCCATGAAAGAGGATCGAAAGCCACCCCTCCTAGCAAAGCATATATGAGTTGTCGGAATTATTTGAAAGCAAAAATGCATACAATAAAATTTTACATCTTATGAAATTCGCAAAAACTAGACTGCTCGGGATCACTTTTGTGTATTATTTTTTGTTTTTAAAAGCATGTTTGTTTAGTGCATTTTTTTGCATGTTTTTATGTTTTTTTAACAAATTAGCTTGTTTTCTATAACTACTCAAAACAACTAAAAAATATTTTGAGTGCATTTCAGAACAACTAAACATGCTATACCACACCAAATATGTTTTGCTTCAAGCCAAAACATAAACAAACAAAAAAATAAATAAAACAAAAGACAGAAAAATCAAAAGGGATCCCAAACGGCCCTTTAAGAAAGCATCTAGCTTTTCTATAATAAAATTCTAGAGCTGCTATACTGACAGCTGCGACTATCTCAAACGCAACCTAATTAATGGAATTTGATTAATAAATAATTGAAAAAACTAATCATTATATTTAAAATCAATCTATTATTCGTAATGCTCTAAAAAACATCAGATAAAAATACATACTTCTGAAAAGATGGTTTTCCAAGCTTCCTTTTGGCATGAACTCATAGACAAGAAGAAGCTCCCTGTCCTCCCAGCAGTACCCCAACAGTCTGACAAGATTAGGATGAAAAAGCCTTCCCAGAAAATTAACCTCGGACTTGAAAAGAGAAGGAATGATAAAAGGAATTACTCTCAAATAGTAAGAGAAGCATAAGAGCATTCATAACAGCATTTAAGAACATAATCAATTTCTATCAAAAGTGAAGCTAAGGAGATATTAAGCATAAGAAGATTTGCATGTAAGGATCCAAACAGTAGATGCGCGTTGTTGAATCAAAAATAAAATCTTTAATTAGCTGGATTTCTTCAAGAAACGGGACAAGCAAAATAAGCAGATTAGTTTCAAAAATTTACACCTATGGAGCTTATATGAATCCAAGTGAGAATTGCTCAAGTACCAACTATAAAGCATAATTAATCCCCACATTAACTAGTGTTGAACCAAAAAGTGTCAGCGGAATCAAGCCCAAGGAATAGAGAGTAAGGTGGGAAGAGGATAGGAGGCAAAGGGGAAGTGAACAGTAAAAAATAGAGCATCTAGCTCTTTTTCTCAAGAAGTGGCCTCCTATTTACAAGTATAGGAGATACTTGGAGTACATAATTACATCTAAGTCCCCCTCCCACGCAAAGAGGCTTAGGGATATCAAAGTCATTCGTACAGTATTCAAATAATTGAAAAATATATTAATAAAGAATCTTCTGACCCATCATGATGAATTCCAATCGTCGGTTCAAAGTCATTCGCTTGATGATAATGAGCAAAGTCACGTGAGAATGGCATAGAGGCCTCCAAACTAAATTCACTCGCGGAGTCGCCTTGCCATATGATCCATTTCTTTAGTTTGTATGGTGGCGAGTCAGCATTCGTTTGTCCGGCTGTAGAGTCGTTCTTCGTTCGGCCCCTCATAGAATTATCTTTCATTTGGGCGGATGTGAATTGATTCTTCGTTCGTCCACGTATGTCGGTCGACCTATTAACTGATGGGAACAACTTGTTAGGACCTTTGAGATGTCTTGTTCCTTGGTTCAACATCAATATGTGACATTCGATAAAATTAATCAACGTTTGATTGATCTCTTGTGGACTTGATCATAGGTCCCACTTTATTTGTTATCTACATTTATTTCCCGAGATTCGTGCTGTCGAGATCGTGTCATACATATTTAGTTCCTCAATTTTTGTATTTTTTGAAACTGATATATGCGATAAAAATAGAAAAATTATATGCAACACTAAATTTCACATTAAAATTATTGACATTATAATCAGTATTTAATAATCAAACTCCATGGCTTTACGTGCACTGTCATCCTATAAATAGGTTGTTACTGATGACCCTTGCTCAAGCACTTTTTTTCTATCAAGGTCTTTGGTCATTCTTGGTAGAGGGCTCTCTGATGGCGTGTGACAAAAATGTTCAATCTAGCGATCAACTGATGACATCCTGATGAAGGTATTTGGACTTCCGGCTGATAAGATCCGTCCTTTAAGCATTCCCGTGAATCATCATACCGAGGGTGAAGAGGTCGGTGACCAAGGAAAACATTCTTAGGGTAGCAAGCCTGCCATGAAGAAGTGAGTGAAGCAACTGGCCTTTAAGAAGGGACCTTTGGGTGCACGCGATGACAATGAATGAGTCCTCTGATGATGTTCCCCTGGTTCAGCAGAAGTTGGACAAAGGTCCAAGCACTTCCCCAATTAGAGCATTGGCTAAGTTTGTTGGTCCAGAGGGCAAAGAAGCTCGACGAACCTTTGAAGGTGTACCACCGGGGGATAAGGGCGTAGCCGGTCCTTCTTAGATTTGAGGGATGAGAGTTGCGGACACTCCACCTATGTCTGGTGAGAGTTTCTCATCTTTACACTGGTCTGAGCTGGATTGATTCCATGGTATGAGGAGCTCGATTAATTGATTTATTAGATTGGAGTGACTGTACTTTGCTTAACCTGATTCTTTCTTACTATGTAGCTGACTCGATTCGTGTCTCTGATTCACTAGAGACTCTTGAAGGTCGAGCCCCAACTCCTTGGAAGACAGTGAAAAGTCAGTCGATGATTGGTGAGAGAGAGTCGACCGACTCCGTGGTTCGCCCGCATGGATGAGACAATGGATTTGTTTGCTTGCAAATCTGAAGCTCTGAAGGAGGCTGAGAACCATTGGGAAGCCATCATACAGGAGTTGAAGGTGCAGCTCGACGATCTTTCAGAGAAGCTATCGACCAAGCTTCTCAACTGCTGAATTGAGGTGCTGGACTGTCGGACTGAAATTGATACTAACCGAATGGAGGTTGTGAATCTGCGAATGGACCTGGCTGATTTGAGGGAGGCTTGCTCGGTCTGTCGATTCCAAGCAGAAGCTAGTGGTGTTGATAGATTTAAGATTAGGTGGTCGAGTCTTATATAAGGAACTGTTGAGGCGAGGGTCGGTTTTGCCATAGGTGGCCGGCGAGCCGGTTGTAAAATTTGTCTTACCTGAATGAATATGTATATTTACACTTCCTATATTTCCATTTTCTTATTTATGTAAATATTTTAATTTTTCCTTGTGATGTGATGCGGAATTTGTGTTCCAGATGTGAGGGTGGTAGCGCTTTAAATTCCCTTCAAGTCCTATAAGTAGGGTTGATGTTCCTTCGTAACATCACTTTTTCCTTCTTTATTCTTTGGTCGTCACCTTCCTTTTCATCCTTCAGCCTAGCATTCGCATGGCTTCCAAATACTCATCACGGGCGTTTGGGATAGTGCAGGCATCAGAGAGCTTGATATTGTCCTCTGATGAAGTTTCAAGGCTACAAAGGAGATATGTTTACAAGGTTGACATTGTGATGGAGGCTTCAGGTCCGAATGATATGGCCACTGATGATTATGGAGGACGACTTGTGTTATACCATGACCAACTTTTCAGGTCTTTGCCTTCCTCTTTGTCGTGAGCTTCGTGCTAGTCTGAATCACTACGACATTATCCTGACCCAGCTCAAGGATAACTACATAATGACAGTCATGACTTTCTTCGTTTACTACCACGGGATGGAGATCCTTTGGTCACCGGAGCTTTTTCTCGTGTGTTTTCCTTCAGGTTGACCCGAACGGTTACGTGAACTTCACTTTGAATAGGAAAATTTGCTTGATCGATCTTGAGAACAAAGTCAAGAACTGAAAGTGCAATTTCCACTTGGCTTCAACAAAGGACTAGTGAATTCTCACTCGTCCATCTGGCGAGCCATACAAGCGACAGAAGATTCCTCATATGCGAGGCTTGGTGAAAGAGTCTTTTTGTAGTTCAGTATACCCGTGAGGACATAATTAACAAGGATTTGAATCTGAGCAAGTACGGTCAAATGGCCCGAGAGTTATGGGCCGCATATGATGTTGAAGAGTCAAAGTGGCGGATCAATAAAGCGACTAAAGCTTCTATGAAGGAGTCGAGGGGGAAGAAACCGATGAAAGAATGGGAAAAGGAATTTCTGAAAAAGACCCCAGGTTCGTACCTTCTTATTTCTACTTCTGATACAATCGTCGTTATTCAATGGATCTCAACTGGCGAGTTAACTTTAATTGAACAAAAAACTTATTTTTTAAGAGGTGACGTAGGGGGTGGTGACGCACAGGCCCCTTCAATTTTAAGATTCGAGGTCGATTCTTCTGCGCACGATCGGGGCTCAGGAGGTTCCTCGTTCTGACACATATGGCTTCATTGACCTTGCAAAGAAGGGAAGAGCCTGCCAATTGTCTCCATATCTCGATGCCGACGAAGAAAAGAGGCCGAACCGGGATATGGATCTGGAGAAGGGAAGTTTTGGGGCTCAGCCGAATATAGAGACTGCGAACACGAGCCCCGTGTCTGCTCGTGGTGATGTGGGCCTTAGAGTCTAGCCTGAGAGCAGTTTCCCAGTCCCCACGGAGCCTCGTCGAAAGGAGTTGGTTAGTAACACTAGCCCGCTTTTCGCTTCGCTCACCGTAGGTAATGTTGAATGGACTCCAATGCAGGATGAAGGGCTCAAGGCCTTTGTCTCGAGAGACTCTCGCTTCACCCCCATTGAACTGCAACGAGACTGGTTTGATTGCGGTCCAAGAGTGGAGTCCCATGCGACAGAGCTTGCATACACATTATGGTCAGTGGGTTTCAAAGACAAGTTAGGCAGTCTCAACCCTTTAGAACTATGCTTTCTCGTCAATAGATATCGGTTGTTGGGGACTGCATCTTCTCACTACTTGTACAACTTATAACTTGACACTGCAACCGAAGCCGCTCAGGTAAAGAAAAAAATGAAAATTGCAAAGGCTCATCAAAGGAAAATTTACAGCGAGCGGACGTGGCAGAGGCTCGCCTTGCTGAAGTTGAAGATAGTTTGGCGAGGGCTTTGGAATGACTCTCGGTCATGCTTGAGGAGAATGACAAGCAGTTTGCAAAGGTCGCTTCGTAAACTTCAGACACAACACTTTCAGAAGAGCGGGTGAACCGGTTTCGGCTTGGGACCGAGTGCGTCATCAACTAATTTGTGAGATTAAGGATGGTCGATGTGAAGTATACGAACTTAAGCGAGTTTGTCAAGCTTCTATCAAACACATCTCCTTCGGTCAAGAGGCATGCCAGGAAGCAAAGGGCATCGGTGGAAGAAGGTGGATCCTCCACCTCTCGTTCCTAAATTTTTTTCTTTGTAGCGAAGGGGTTTCACCTTTCTTTTTTCTTTTATTTTGGTAAAGTGGGACAATTTTTTGTAACGACATAAATTTGAAGAAAATATAAGTTTTTGGTACGGACGCTTTCCACATTTTCTTTTTTCTTGCAATTGTACGCTTTTATTCGGATGTCAGTTCTTTGTCTAGCGGTGAATCTTTTAGATGTTTCGGTTTAGAGATTCTGCGGGCAGAGATGGCAAGAGCAAAAATTAGTTTCTCCATATCAGGGTATCTAGTTTCGATGTTTGTCAAGACTCGGCCGGTCTAATAAACGAAAAAATAACTTTCTCCATTCCTCCCGGACGAACACTGTATTGAAAGCCTCGACTCCAACTCTGAGGTAAAAAAAGAGTTCTTTGATCGGTCTCGAACTCTGAAGGAGTGGCGATGAAGTTAATTAATCTTTGAGCCTTTTGAAA